TTCTTTCCTTGAGCCCTTTCTGAAGAGCCAATATCCACAAAAATGTAAGGATTGGATAGAGATTTGTATAACCTTTTATGGGGTTATATTTCTAGCAATTTTAGTGTGTTTTTTTTCAAGACTTGGGTTATTTATTGGCTGCTCTGCTGTTTTTTAGTGGGTCAACAACAGCACAAGCTGAAGCATTTTGGGGGCCTGTAAATCAAGGAGCGCGTGTATGCGTGTGTGCGTGGATGGGTGGATGGGTGGATGGGCGTGTGTGTGTGGGTGGGTATGGGTGTAAGATGATTTATGAAACGAGCAGCAGTTTGTGGCGGCTGCCGCCGGACACCGGACATCGGACACCGGACACCGGGCTCTGGTCAGCGGGACACAAATGCAAATGTGCAACAAAAAGTGGCTGCCACACACAGCAAACAATTGGAGGGGAAAAAGAGCAGCAGAACAGCCAGAACAGCCAGAACACCCGGCGGCATTGATGGCACAAAGTGGAAATAATGGCTTGAGTTTGGTTTTGGCTTTGGCTTTGGTTTTGGTTTGGTTACGTTTTCGCTTAAGTTATAAATTACAATGATTGACGTTGCTTTAAATATTCTCGAAATATGTGATACATGTGTGTGGCTATTTGTTTAACTTAAATGCAGGCCCGTAGCAAGTCCTTGCAGGGGAGTTTTTATGAAATATTTAAGTTTTGCCGGGGAGCGGCAAGGCTGCAAGCTGTCTGCTGCATCTCTGAGCAAAAGTCAGTCGGTTGAGAAGGGTCGGCGACAGGACATGCCTGGAAGAGGATACCCTGTCTGAACGGAGGGCGGATAAATACTTTGAATCTTGCACCATGAATGTCCTCCGCAAGGGCCCAATGTTTATGGGCACAGCTTACGCGCTTCGCCTGGACTTCTAGTCGAACAATCACAGGCGAGTCGACACAGGCAGTAGCCTTGCCACAATCGCCTCTCGCCTTTGGTGTGGATATGCAAATCGTTTATTTATTCAACTGCCATGTGGCCGTATATTCAGCCCAGCCTTGGGGGCACTGCATAAAAGTATACAGTGTCCCCCAGCCAATATTCATGCTTGTCTGCCGTCAGATCTGGCATCTCTCGAATGAGTTTTTGGGGGACATGTGCTATAATTTGGTTTAATGTACGCACCTTGAAACCCTAACCGCAGAAACAACAACAGAACAAAACTCCCTTATTGCCCCCAAGGCCGCCCCCCTACAGCTACTGCTGTGGCATTGCTCATACGCAGTGTGAGCCGGAAGCGGGGCCTGCGAGCGTGGCCGAGCGGGGGGGCCAAGGCCGGAAGGGACTCACTCCGTTGAGCTTGTATTCGGAATTTAAATTTCATGCGGCTGACCAAGGTGCACTGATTGCTGAAACATTGAGTATTTTAAAGAGCACAGGACATGGCACATATGGCCATAGCCTTGCCCTTAAGGGACTCTTTAAGGCCTGGCCGAGGAGAATTCCTGTGGCTTGCATAACCACTCCAAAATCGAAGAGTCCTGGCCAGGTTAAGCTATTAATCGTTGTGTCATGTCCGTGCTTGTGGTAAAATCCTTAGAAATACAGCTTAGATGTTTAGCATTCGGGAAGGGGTGTGAGGAGTCGGGGGGTATGTATTGTTTGTGCTTCATGAAACAACAAAAACGTTTCAATTGTGTCAAGCTTGTGAAATGCAACTCGAAAGGCCCCCCCCCCCCCCCCCCCCTGGCAGCAGAATGCCCATCAGTCAGCCGCCGTAGAGATTATACCTACTGGAGACAGGGGCTTATCGAGGGTATCTCGGGGAAACGGCAACGTAGTCGGCCAACTAGGGTGTCCGGCGACAGACAAAACGCAAAGGAAACGGCAGGGAGGCAATACATTTTCCGCAAATAATTGCGCCTTGTGAACCCAGCTGATGATGCTATCTTCGGATGATTTATACGCAGATATCGGATAATTTAAAGTTGGCCACTGTTGTCACCATGCCACCAGATAGGGGGCCACCATTCGGAAGAGAGAAAAAACCCGTAACATGATTTAAGCGACTGTCGATGCCCCGAGCTCGAGCCGGCACTAGTGCCCCTCCCCCCAGGCAGAGTGGATTGCGGCGACCGGCCACTGATTAGCATATTAATCAAGTGGATTTCAGCCTTCGTCCCGAGGTATTAATTAGGGAAAAAACAACAGCCCCAGGGCCCCCACTGAACTCCGAGGGAGGCCCAAGAAATTAACTTTTTCTTGTAAACTTAATAAAAAAGTTTCCGTTTCTCGGTGCTCGGTTCTTGGTTCGCTTTCTGCTTTTTTCTGGGTTCCGAAAAAAGTTTGGTCAAACTTTGTGCTTAAAATTCCATTTGGATACTATTGCCTCTCGATACCTAGTCGAGTGGAATTTGCTCGTTTGTTGTTCCGCTCCGCTCTTGTATTGTTTGCAGAGAGAATGGAGAATGCATTCCATGTGGATTTGCCACTTGCCTCTGCTTCTGCTTCTGCTTCTGCTTCTACTTCCGCCCCAAGCCATCCATCAGTGGGCCCCATCTAGTGTTGGGTAAACTGCGAAAACTGGGAAAAATGTAAAGCGCTTTCCACTTGAGGAAATTGAGTTATGCTGCAAATCCACACACACTCAAACCTTACGTAAAGAGACAGAAGGTGCTTAGATATATTTCACAGGCGACAAAACTTTCAAGGAGGATTTCCTTTTGGGCTGCAATTAATTGGCGAGGCCCTGAGATACCGACTATGGAAATTGTAGTAAAATTAATCTGAAAATATTCGACACACTCGTAAATATATTCTTACAAATTTAATAGATTTTTAATAGATTTAAATCTAAGTAATTTTTTTTTTTATTTCTTTTTTTTATTACAAATCAGCTTTACTTAAACTATGATCTAATATTAGTGATATTTACATTGGCTTACTACATATTTTAAGAGTTTAGTGATTAGGTTTATATACAAATTTTAATGATGTGTTATTCAGCAAATTTTTGTATTTTTTATGTTCGATGGGACGTTTGAGTCTGCGTGGGTCTAAGTAAATACTTTATTGACATGTGAGTGTTTCCTTTTCCCCTGAGCGAGAAAATCATGTACTGGGGGCTTCAAAAATATCCCCAATCTTTCGTTTTTCCTCTCACGCAAATTATCATATCGCGGGGCGGGCGGAAATTTCGAAAGTCGCGTTTCCTGGCTTTTTGCCTTGGCCCGGAGGCAGCGGCTTATCCCCGGCACGGTCTCGAGCTCTGCTCCCCCCCGGTTGTTGGCCAATTTGCGTCGATTTTTCGCCCTCTATTTTAAGAGCCGTGAGCCGCCATTTGACCGGGGGCCATTCAACAGAGATCCGTTAAACTGCGGCAGATTTGAAAGCCCGGACAAGATTTAATGAATTTATGTCAAGGTTCGAGGGAATGTCTCTCTCTCCCTCTGTCCCTGTCTCTGGGCGCTGGGCAGTGGACAAGTGTCGGATTTGGTCGCTCGTAGGAGACAGGACCTGTCAACAATAAAGCCTGAATGCCATTTTAATTGGCGCATCGGGGCGTTGGCTGCTGGTCGAAAAGGCGCGAATCCTTGGCAGAGAACTGGCTCCCCCAGGACTGGGTACGGGGGAGGGGGATGCTCCGTTTGTCCTTCAGTCGTTGCGCACAATTAAAAGTTGTCCGCGATGTTTGCCCCCGGACCCGGACCCGCACCCAAGCCCAAACCCCAGCCCAAACCCAAGCCGAACCACAGCCAGGGTCCATTCCGGTCTTGGCCAAAAGTAGCAAAATGAGCAAAAGTTTAGTGAATTAAGTGCATCGGAGAATGGCAGCCCGTGACGGTCCCGGGGAGTGGTCGGCGACAGCTCAAAGGTCACGGGGTCCCGGGACAAACTTTCCATTGATTTTAGCAGCCACAAGCAGAGTGCAAGATTTCAGGGGAGATTTCAAGCCATAGTTTGCCCTGAGTTTAGAGGATACTTAGTCGATCATCAGCCCACATTGATTCGGATACGGACTGAGAATGAATTTCGTTTTGTCGCGGCGAGTGCTGCGGATGGGCGGCTGCCAGGTGCTGGAACCAAACATATATAATGTCCGCCAACTGCTGAAGACCTTCGACACGATCGTCTACGCCGCGGATGGGGTGCTGTGGCGCCACGATCAGGCACTCACGGGAGCTGCCGATACGTTCAATGCCCTGCGGGCGATGGGCAAGAATTCGTTCATCTGCACCAACAACTCGGAGGCCTCGTGCCGGGCCCTGAGCAAGAAGGCAGACAGCATGGGCTTCCTGATAGCCGAGAACGAGATCCTCTCCTCGGCGCAGGCTCTGGCCCGCTATATGCGAGAGCGGAAGTTCAATCGCAAGGTCTACATCGTGGGTGGCCAGGGCATCATGGCCGTCGGCATGGACTTGGGCCTCAATGTGCTGAAGCTGACCAAGGCCAGCATATACCTCCGGGACCCAAAGACCCTCTTTTTGGCCACCAATCGCGATCGCGCCTTTCCAGTGGCTGCCGACCGTCAAGTGCCCGGGGCGGGAGTCGTGGTGGCTGCCATACAGGCGGTGGCGAAGCGGGCCCCGTTCACCTGCGGCAAGCCCACTCCCTATGTCTGCTCCCATCTGATACGTCAGGGTGTCATCGAGCCGGAACGCACCCTGCTGGTGGGCGACACGTGAGTTTCTCACTCCTATATGGTATTTTCGCTTACTTTCATGCCTTCCCCCCCCCCCCCCCCCCCCCGCCCAGCATGTACACGGATATGCAGTTCGGCTACAACTGCGGCTTTCACACTCTACTGGTGGGCACTGGCGTCAGCAGTCTCCAGGATGTCCGCCATGCCCTGGCCTCTAAGCAGGCCTTTGCGTACCAGCAGATACCAGACCTGTATCTGCACAGGCTCTCGGACTTGCTGCCATTCATACCCTCCCGAAACTATTAAGGCCCCTACACCTGACACCTTACCCCTTACACCTTACCCCTTAGACTACATTCATTACTTTAGACAGACAGATAGACACCACGCGCTTACGGCAGTACTTTTGATACCCCTCGCTGTGGGGGGAATGTATAATTGATTGATAATTAAATTTATGTGGCACTGGCGCGACCTTTAGGGGGGATCCCGAGAAGGGTCCTGAGAGCGGTTAATACGATGTGTACCTATTATTTCTCGGTGCTGGGCTTGCTCTGTTCAAACAGTGCTTTTTGATTGGATCTGAGATCTTGGTTTCTGAGAAAACTCACAATCTAGTACTGGCTGTGTGGAATGTCAATTGTGGTTTGACTGTTTTATTGTTGTTTCAAAATATCACCTACGAGCAGTTGTAGTCCCGTGCTGAGCCATGTTCAAGCGTACCTGCACGGATCTGACCAAAATACCCAAGGAGAAGGTGCGCCAGTGGCTGACCACAATCGAATCGGTGATATTCGATGCCGACGGTGTTCTGTGGCACCTGAACCGGCCGATCAATGGGGCAGTGGAGACCTTTAATATGATCAAGAGCTCGGGCAGGCAGGTGCTGGTGGCGACCAACCATTCGGGTCTGCTCACCAAGGATCTGGCCGCGAAGGCGCACCAGTTCGGCTACGAGATCCAGGAAGAGCAGATACTGAGCTCGGCGCTGTCCGTGGCCAGGTTCCTCAGCGCGAAGGGGTTCAAAAAGAAGGCGTACATCGTCGGGGAGTCGGCCATTGTCGATGAGCTGGCCAAGGAGAACATCTGCAGCTTCTCTGTGGGCAAGGAGAAGCTGCTCAAGCCCATGGAACAGTTTGCCAAGGATATGTACCTGGATCACGAGGTGGGCGCCGTGATAATCGGCAAGGATGAGAGCTTCAATGTGCCGAAGATAATCAGGGCCAGTTCGTACCTCCAGGAGCCGAAGGTCCTCTTCCTGGGCACCTGTCTGGACACCGCCTATCCGGTGGGCAAAAACCGGATGATTGTGGGCGCCGGTGCCATGGTGGCCGCCGTGAAGGCCATCACTGGCCGAATGCCGCTGATTTTGGGCAAGCCGAATCCCCTGATGGTGGAGCAGCTGCTGCAATGCGGCGTCCTCAAGCGGGAGTCCACGCTGATGGTTGGCGACACGTAAGTGGTCCGTCCTCCTGCCCCACCTGCTCTTACCTCACCCGCCTATTCCAGTCTCTACACGGACATTCTGTTCGCCAGCAACTGCGGCTTCCAATCGCTTTTCGTGGGCACCGGCGTCAGCATCTTGAAAGAGGTGCGCCAGATTTGCAATGACGAAGGACACAGCAAAGTGGACATGATCCCAGACACCTATCTGCCCTCTCTGGGACACTTGCGGGAGTTCCTCTGCTAGATCTGTCGATCATGAACACAACACATGAATGCATGCCCATCCATCTCGTACACCTTCTAAATGTAATGCTTCCGGTAATCACCGGATAGCACTCACGGGACACTGTCGAACTAAGAATTATTACGGGGCCGGGGCACCTAGGCAATCGCCGGATAGTACTCACGGGACACTTTCGAACTAAGAATTGCTACGGGGATCGGGGATATCGACAAGCATCGCCGAGGGTGCCTAGGCAATCGCCGGATAGCACTCACGGGACACTGTCGAACTAATAATTGCTACGGGGGTCGGAGACAGGGTTAGAGAGAGACAGGGCGGAGAAAAAATGAAATTGTTTTCTTGATGCTGGCTATAATAATAATACGATCCAATTCGGATTCTGCAGTCTAAAAGATATGGTCATTCTCTACGTTTCTGCGTTTTTGGTTTTCTCGTATCGTCGAAATTGTGGATGCCACAGATTTTCGTCCTTTGTGGAGGCGGAAGTGGGCGGGGCAAAGTTTTGAAATATTTTTGTAGCAGTGACATATCACAGAAGTCTGGATCCAAAACATCGTTGCTCTAGCTCTTATAGTCTTTGAGCATTAGGCGCTGAAGGGGACGGACAGACGGACAGACGGACGGACGGACAGACGGACAGACGGACAGACAGACATGGCTTAATCGACTCGGCTATTGATGCTGATCAAGAATATATATACTTTATGGGGTCGGAAACGATTCCTTCTGGACGTTACACACATCCATTTTCACCACAAATCTAATATACCCCAATACTCATTTTGAGTATCGGGTATAACGAGTAGCAGGGGAATCGGGACTGTACTATGCCAGTCGGAACCATTAGGCCAATAATAGCTGTATATCTCTGTAAAACCGCCCGTGAGGTCGACCATTATTCACGTACAGCCGAGGCTGGCTTCCCTAACCTCCCTAGCCATAGCGTCAACACGTGGCCGCCGCGCCCACACGAGGAGGAGAGCGCCGCGGCAAGACGGCAGAGAAAGGGAACCGAGCCGAAGCTGGGTAGAAATCGCTGGAGAGAGAGCGACACGGGCGCGGCGAGCAGCGCGTCGTGAGCGGTAGAGGCCGAGTGAGCGTCGGAATCCTCCCGAAGACCAACCAGCCCGGCTATATATTTCGTACCCAGACCCAGAAGAGGATAGCAAATGCCCGGCCCTCGGCGCGAGCAGTCATTCAATGAACTTCAGCGCGATCATTCAATGCCCGGCCTACAAAATAGCCGAGAGTAAACGCCCGACCTTCAATGTGATCAGTCAGCGGATCCCACTTTGGGTGTCCCACCCCAAGCGTGATTTAAGTGGGGGGGATTATGTAGTGCGCTTGTTGTAAGAAAAAAAATTGTTTGCATCGACGTCTTAATTTTCCCTAAAATTATGCTACGCGAATAGGCTAAGTCTTCTGTTGGGTTCAAGAAAGCTAAGCTTTTAACACGCCATATTATTTATTATATTATTTCTTTTGGCTGACGTTTTAATCGGCCTCTTCCTCCCACTGTCATTTTGACAAATCGGAAAGAAAAAGGGAAGAACGATGGGATGAGGCCTTGATTTCCGGGAAAAGCAGCTCGCTCTCTCCTCATGGTATCCGAACAGTACGGACGTACTTATCCAGCTCTCAAGAAAAAAAATTAATAAAAGTTAAAAATCAAATAAAAGTTCTCCGTAGATCAGCACGATCCGCCGGCCTTTCGAAAGCAAGACCCCATCCACCCAGTAGAGAAATCAATCCCCCATTCACTGTGCAGAGGATGGTGCAGTTTTTTCCGACGATCGCCCCAAAGCGGGCCACCGTAGAGTTGGGACGCTCCCCCCAACGCCCCAACGCCCTCCACCAAAGCGGTCCACCGTAGAGTTGGGAAACTCCACCTAAAGCCCCAACGCCATCCACCACATCGAGCCCTTCAGCAGTTCCCGAGCTTCAGCGCCGACAGAGAGCGGCCCCTCAGCCGTTTCCGAGCTTTAGCGCCGGCAGCAGCGAGCTCTTCGCCGCCCCAACGCGAGTCGTCGCGACCGAGAGTGGTCCATCCAGCCACCGGGCCAAGAGCCCTAAACAAAAAGTGCCAAGTGATCTTCCTTGCTAATGACAAGGAATAACCAGACTCGTCCAATAAAAAAGAGACCCTGACCCGAATTTTTTTGTCACCGTGCTTCGCCCTAACCTAAAAGTCAGATCATGGCATGTGCAGGTTAAGTGTATTAAATAAACCCCAACGGAACGGGCAGAACTCGTATGAACCTCTTTGTGGCCCATTGTGCATTTACTCCCAAAGAACATATATGCGCTTGTTAGGCCGTTGCCCCTTTTGCCCGTGAAACGAAACCAGCTGCTTGGAGCTTTTTCCGTGCGCCTACACCTTGGTCTATGTATCAAGACCTACCCCCATCGAACCTGAATAAACGAATATATATTGAATAAAGAATAATATATAGAAGTTAAATATGGAATAATTTGATTTATGCACTATATATGCCCAAAAAAAAGTCCCTAAACAAAAAGAAAAAGAAAAGAAGATCAAGATAATCCGGTGTTAGCCGTGGTCATGCGTGTCCATGTGTGTGTGCTCTCTCTCTAAAACTTACAGGTATTCCCCTCGCTGAAAGATCTTTTGGACGTGGCCGGAACATGAAAGTACGTAAGTGAACGAACTCCCTCCCAGTTATCGTTTATAAACTTTTAACATAAAGAGACAAAAACCATACATGAGCCCGGTCGGCCGTATTCTTTGATTTTCCCTAAATTATGTTGGGGCTTTTTTGTTGTAAAGAGGCCTTAAGCCCACGAAAAGCTCAAGAGCTTTGTAAGCTTTAAGCTTTAGCGCAGATCAGCGGCAGCAGGTGCTTCACTAATAACTATAATTATATTATCATTTTTATCATTTTTTAGAGCAGCTTATACTTTATATTTATATTCTTTTAGTCAGCATGGAAAATTATTTTCTGGTGTATATTCTTTTAGAGGGGGGAAAATTCGTGAATATTTATTAATAATTTTACATTGATTACCTCTAAATTTATGTAATTTATAATTACATTTCCTAAAAAAAAAAAAGAAATATCATATTGATGAAATCATTTTACTATTCCTGAAACAGTAGTTATAGCACCAATTGCTCCTGTTAAAGGTCATGGACTATAATCAACTAAATGAAATGGGTGATTTGAATGTGTAGACATTATTAATTAATTTACTTCTCTAGAGTATAAAGTACTTAATACAGCAAATACATAAGATTGAATTATAGCAACAGCTGTTACTAAAAAATATGACATAGAAGGACCAGTATTTCCTAATAAAGTTAATAATAAGTGTCCTGCAATTATATTAGCTGTTAATCGAACAGCTAAAGTTCCAGGTCGAATTACATTTCTAATAGTTTCAATGCACACTATAAATGGCATTAAAACAGCTGGTGTTCCTTGTGGTACTAAGTGGGCAAATATATGTTGTGTATGATTAATTCAACCGTAAAGTATAAAACATAATCATAAAGGTAAAGCTAAAGAAAGAGTTAAAGTTAAGTGACTTGTTCTTGTAAAAATATATGGGAATAAACCTATAAAATTATTAAATAAAATTAGAGAAAATAATGAAATAAAAATAAATGTTGAACCATTATGACCTGAAGGTCCTAATAATGTTTTAAATTCTTTATGTAAAGTTTGTAAAATTGAATTTCAA